CTTATAAAATGTAGTATGTTCACTTGTCTGTATCTGGGCTTTGGAATTTTGTAATTCTGAGCTATATCGAATAAGTTATGATTTTTACGAGAATATTGCGCGTCCAGTTTTCTTGCTACCCGGCAGCTTGTGTGTAATTAATGTGTGTCCTGTTAATCGTGTCGTAATGTGCTCGTATGAACTTATGCCCTTCATTAAAGTGATAGGTCTACTTTTTTTCTTTCAAATGAGATATAATTCATGTTGATATGTGCTTCGTAGCTCGTATTATTATCAAAATGTCGCCACCTTGTTTGAACATTTTGACTGCACCTATGTTTTGGATGTTTTCTGTGTTAAGTGCCTTTAAATGATTTTATCTGCTTGAGTGTTCTTCATGAAAGTTATAGAGGCATGAATTAGAGATATTTCCCAAGTGGTTTTATCATGATATGATTTGTAGACTAAAAACTACACACATTTTAAATCCATCGTGCATGCTAAAAATTGTTGCAAGTTCATGTTTAGAATTCTAGATTGAGTTGTGTTGTTTAAAGGCATGTTTATGTGGCATAACTGAACCATGTCATGCTGTGTGATGTTTATTTGATCCTTCAATGTTCTAAGTGTTAAAAGTTAAGCAAGCCAAGATATCCACCAACTGAAAAGACTTATACATATAGTGTTTTCAAAGTTTATATATGTATAAGACTACGAGAATAGGATGAGACTTGATAAGGTTCTAAGTCAAGTCCCAACGAATGTAGGTGTTTGACGAACTGTGCCTCGACTACTTGCTGCTTTCCTGGTTTTATTGCTTTACTCCGGATACCAGGTGGGTCTTATTTAAATTGTCTATGCCTTGAACTGTGAATATATTTACTTACTTGGGTATGATCAAAGTATGAAATGTGTATGTGTAACTTTCGGCGTGAGCTGTAACGGCCGTCGAACGTATCCCCATTGTTATAGAACGTACCCCGAGTGGGTAATCTCCTCTTGTGATGGATTTCCTGCCTAAAACCCTCGGGGTTGGCATACCTGTCTAATACCCTCGGGGTTGACAGTGGATTTCCGTCTAAAACCCTCGGGGTTGACGGATGACTCTCCTACTTTGGCAACGTTAGAGTTCCCGCGAGGAGACGATACGTGGACCAAATGTAGTCTATTCTGATAGGTGTGCACATGAGGCTGATTGTTGATTATGGATAGGAGATGGGAAATATTGTGTCTATGTTCATACTTGTGACCATGCCATATTTACTTTTGTACTCACTTATATTAATTGTTCATGTGCATAGCGGTGAGCACAACGGTTTCTATCTGTGCTCATCCCCACCTGCTCTTCATTGATGCAGGTTGAGCTGACGGCTGCATGGCGGCGAGAGACGAGTGGTGGTCGGTCGTTTGACCGGACCTTATTTTGTAGCTTCCGCTTTGTTATTATATTATGATTATTTTTGTCATCATGTTGAACTCTGGGTAATTATTATGATCTTGGATTATCTATTATTTGAGAAATGTGAACACTGGTTTGGGGAGGTGCCATGTTTGCTAATAATCAATTTCGAAACTTTGTTTAAAACCCTGTGAGGGTGGTTTCGATTTGACTCTGGATGTTTGATGATGTTTAAATTACTTGCGAGTAATTGATATGTGAAAGTTCGTAATTGTTGATTTTATGCCGAGTAACGCCAAACGATTTATGAATAGAATTTCGAAAAAAAAAAAAAAAAAAATTTCGTTGACTTTTGAAAAGTCTTTGACTTTCGTCAAATAAAAGTGGGGCGTTACAATAATATTTTTTAACCTATCCGCATCATCTTACCTCTTTAGGATCAAGCAGAACGACCTATGTCTCCAAGTATGCCTTAATCGGGTCCATCCACCCTCCCGCGGTGGTGAGGACGGACATCCTTACATTCATCAACTGATGAACCGGTACAGAGGGATAATCATGTTGTCCAACATGCACGTATTCCAGATTCTCTATCCCCAAACTTGAGGCTAGATGGGCAAGTGCGTGGGCTTGTACATTTTCACTTCTTGGTATGTGCTCTACTCGATTTACGAACTTGGACAACCTCTCTTTGGTTAATTTCATATACGGAATTAGACGAGGTTCCATTGTGTTGAATTCCACGGTGATCTATTTGACCAACAGCTGGGAATCCGAATAAATGTCTCATTGTCTCAGGCCCATCGACTCGGCTAAGGATAAGCAGGGCAGCAGGACTTCGTATTCAGCTTCATTGTTTGTTGTCACGAACAAGTACTGGACCGAATGACAATATAGTTTCTGATTTGGGCTGACCACGTCTCGTCCTCCTCCTGCTCGATTAGCGTTGGATGATACGTCGACGTATAAGGTCCACGATTCTTCCTCAAACGTTATTTTTGGAGCCGACATGAACTCTGGTACAAAATCATATAAGGCTTGTCCCTTAATCGCCGTTCTGGGCCGATAATGGGTATCAAACTGTCCTGACTCAATGGCCTATTTAATCATCCATACTGGTGCGTTTGGCCTATGTAGAACTTTTTTGATCGTAAAATGTAAATATATAAATCAAAATTGAGTTCGGACAACCTGTGAACGACGTACAAAACCACATATAGGTTGCTCACTCAAAAGTCACGAAAATCAAATATCATAGGCCGAGGCACCGCCTCTCTAACTCAGCAATCACATTAGGATAAAGAGCAGATATAGTACGGTATACATGAGTTTTTACCTTCCGGATCACGTGGCTCGGGGATTGATATTCATTTTCAAATATCAACAGGTTTCTTTGCATTCCAAATGAAGTACATGGTGGCCGCTAGCGCTGCTTTCTTCAACTTGGATCTCCAACCCGCCCCTCTCGCCTCCTTCTTGGTCCATTTGAGGGCACCTTTAAGGGTCGATGGCCTATGACGGAGACTAACCCAAGCACGAACTTCACCCCAAATCTCCGACCTAAAGGAGCACTCAAAGAAGAGGTGTCTCGAAGATTCATTTGCAACACCGCATAGAGGGCAAATCGGGTCTTCGTCAAGAAATTTGAGTCGGTCTTTTGTCCGGAGTCTATTAAGCATTCCCAACCATAGGATGAATGAGTGTTTGGGGGTATTGCAAGGCCCCCAAACTAGGGATGGCAATGGGTGACAAACCCGCTGGGGGGACCCCCCGTCACCCGCCCCCATTAGGGAAAATACCCCCGTCACCCGCCCCCATCACCCGTCTCGGGTCCAGATTTCCCCCAGACCCGGCACCCGTGTGGGTGATGGGTACCCGTCGGGTGACACAGACCCAATTTCCGGTGAGGACACAACGAGACGAAGTTGGCGTTTCCGGTGAGGACACAGCGTTCCCGGCATAGATCTGCAGCGGCGGCGTCGATGACCTGACCGCAGGCCTCGAGGTGGAGTTCGGCTCGCCTTCTCCCGTTGCGGCCTGCGGGCTCGACGGCGCCGGCGCGGCTGCGGAAGCGGAACAAGCCATCTTGGTGGAGCGATGGAGCCGCCGGTCACACGCAGGAGCTGCCGACCTGGAGTGGAGTGGCCGAGTGGAGTGGAGTGGAGCTTCGAGACAGCGAGAGCGACTGCGAGTGTGCGTGGTGGGCGGGGGCGTGGGACTGGGAGAGCAAGAGGATAAGATTGCCTCTTATATATCTAGGGTTTAGTAGTGTTGCTGCCTGCTGAGTTCTTTTGGGCTGGGCCAAAACATATATTGGACCAAATTATATCGGGTACATTATACCCATGGGTTAACGGGTATGGGGGGAGGGGGAACGGACCCATCCCCGCTAGACCCGATGGGGGGACTTTTTCCCCCATTAACCTATCCATGGGGCCAAATTTTAGCCATACCCGGCTCCTAATGGGGTTTTTACCCATCGGGTTTCGGGTTTCGGGGGCCCATTGCCATCCCTACCCCAAACAACCCCGGTCCATGGCCTCGTGGGTCCTCTAGGTCTTAGGAAGTCGTAGCACTTACCGAGTAGAACTTGGTTTAAGGGATAGGCAGTCAGGACAACAATATAATGTCTTGAAAATACAGCCATAGTTTTCGGGCCGTCGTCACCAACGCGTACGACAACTTCTCCGTCGTCACCAACACGTACAACAATTATTTGTTTTTTTATAAATTATATCGTTTCCCAAAAAAAAAAAAAAAAATATATATATATATCACTAAATATTTCCAAACTTAGTTTACAATGTTTTCTTCCCCACTCCTTGTATATATTAGTTGTTTGTGACAAATATAATATTCGGAGTGGTATATAATTAGTTCGTATTTATATTTTCAACTTCCTTAATACTAACAAACATTTTGAGTTAAAAAAAAAAAAGTGATTAGTTATACTAACAAATATTTTACTTTCTGAGTAAAAAAA